TGTCTATAAGCAGAAATGATAGTTGCATATTCAAAAAATAAGAACTTAAATGATAATATTGTTCATAGTAAACTAAAAACAATCAGTACATAACAGATACTATACTTCTCGCCCATCGGGCGAGTTATTTTTTCTAATTTCAGATCAGAATAAGAACAGAAGAAAACCCAATATCAAGACCCTTAATCCTAATTTCTAAATAAAGTGTCTGCTCCACCCTAGGCCTGTACATTTGGGAGAATCAAACCCTCCCTTCCCCGAAATTCAATCCTGCTCACGAACTAACCCAAAATCCGAACAACATATTTAAACATTAGAAGTAGCTATCGAACTTTTCATACAGAGGTATCAGGTGTCTAGAATAGGAAGCATACCCTGTCTGGCGCCACACCCGTCATAGCTGCTTAGGAAGTATTCGAGATTTGACTTGTTTCATTGCAGAAAAGGTGCGTTCAGCTGTCGAAGAGCATGTCTGTGTGCTAAGGGTCTTCATCGATTTCAGTACTTTCAATTTCATCTGCATCAAGATGTTGGCAAACATTTGCTTTATCTTTGGAAGTTCTGCTGCACTGCGTACCAAAATGAAAGTCATTATTCGGACTAAAAGCTTCCAGCTTTGGCCATAGATGTTCTGTTGTAAAACATCAAATTCTGCATTTCCGTAAATTTACTTTTGGAAAATTTAATAGCCTCCACCTGCATGCGTGCGAATATTAAAGTGACATAAAACGACGATTTTCTAGAATACTGCTTCTAGTAACCTTCTAGAAACTAAATTCAAAGTTGCAAGTTTACAATAACATTCATGATGGTAATGACAACAAGGCAATTAATATATATAATTAATGTATTTAATTTTTAGAGCATAAACTTCAACATACAACACGTGGTTGGTGGAACTTAGATCGGGTATTTTGCACAAGCTTAAAAATTGACAAAGACGAAGAAGCGTATATGCAAAGCAGCGACAAACCTATTCTGTCAAATCTTGGTTTACAATATTTTTCATACATGTGAGATGTGAAGTGGCATCTGAGATTCTGAGCTTCGGAACTCGGCATCTTTGCTTTCTCGAGGGAATGTTTAGGTATGGCTTCAATCAAACAAACGTTTGTGAAATACTAATTTAGCGAGGCTAAACATTCTAAAAGAAGTGCTTGTGAAGAGCTTATCCTCAAAAAGCTTCTACGGTGATCATGATATGAAAATAAACTAAGGGCAAATTTCGATGCTAGAACTGAGAGTTACATTTATAGACTAACTTACCTCCGAGAACAAATATTTTTGTCATTCCAACAGATATCATATTGTGTTTATCACGTTCTGTGGGTAAAGCTATACCTTCTAATGGCTCACTCCAAACATCGTCTGCAACGTTATACATCCTGACAGATAAAACAGAATCAATCAATATTCATTATCCCATAGATTCGTTAATCCGTTCGGTATGCAAAAATTAAAACTAAACAATCATAAAGTATGTGTATTCTATGATAATGAAATACAGAAATGTATGTCAGTGCCTGTGGGGGCATGTGTAAAATCTAATACCACCAGCTAATCAATTTTATTCTCGCTCCAGCACTCGGATAGTGTGACGCGAACAAAAGGTTATTATAAGATGCATCAGAAACTGATAGAACTGAAACCGACCATTGTTGTTAAAACCACCTTTTTCTTTGGTTGTTCTAAATTGAACCAGTGGTCATCAGATCAGGGAAAAAGTCATACGAAGAAATAACAACAAAGTTGTTGTTAAACTTAACTGGTGTGGTTAAGTTAAAATTTAAAGCTAATAAAACCGGAACAAAAGTGTGATCGGATTTTAATTAGACTGTGCAAAATTCACACGAATGGGAACAATCAGTATGCTGAAGACTGTGAATCAAAAAGATATCAAATATTGTAGCATTTAAAAGTCTAATATATGGACAGACCGACGAAAAATGTGACTTCAATATACAGACATTGTGTTAGCATAAAAGAACTTACCAGAAAACATTGGAACAGTTGTGCCTTAAGTTACTTATACCACCAGAGACATAGAGACACCCATTTAAATTACAGACAGCGTGGTCAGCTCGAGGCCGTGGTATTGGTGTCATTTTTCTCCATCTGTTTTTCTTTGGATCAAATCTCTCTACTGAATCAATTACTCGACCATGCAAACTTTCCCCTCCTGAAATATATCAATTCTAGGGGTATTTTGAAAGGTGGACAAAAGTAAACAAAGCCTTATCGAATTCAAGATATGACTTTGATTCTCAGAAACGAAAATGCCATTAGATACCATAAATATTGTAGATGTGATGGAATGACACGAACAGTTTTAAGGGAAGCAGACATAGCATATAGACTTAATTCTATTTTCCATGTGGCTAACATCACAGGGTATCAAGAACCACAAATTTTTTTTTCGACCGGATCTCGTATGCAGAAGAAGCCCTTGAGCAGAATTTATCACGATAAATTATTTACCTATTATGTAGATATAACCATTTAATACTGAAGCTGTAAATCTGCATCTGGGTGTTTCCAACGGATGCATATCTTTCCATCCATTCATCTGAAGATCACATCTGCGCACTGTCGTCAAATATTCACCGGTCGTCCAGTCTTTACCACCAATAACGTACAAATAATTGTCCAAGACTACCGTTCTGTAACCACTAATATTGTTCAATCTATTCATAATTATGGTGTTCATCTTTGGAAGCATGAGACTAGGAGCCCTTGGATCTATCATTAAATAGTTGACCTTTGGACTACCCGAACCTTTATCAAACAATAATACATATGTGAAGTAGTCTTCTCTTTTAGGTTTTGGTGCCATGATGTTAATGTAACTTGTATCCATGTTATCTGCTTACGATCATTCACTGCCTGGTATAGTATTAACTCTGTAAGATGTAATAAACACGATGAATTAAAAAAAAAGCAGCGGAGAATTCATTATTTGATATATGTCGATTATCATTCGTATTTCATTCCATCTTGAGGCAATTGTCACAATGGCTACATATCTCAATAAAAAAAACTATCTTTTTTACTGAAATATGGCACCCATACAGCTATATACCACGGCGTGGTAACTTGTTAAATTAGGCCAATGTCACCATGTCAGTCTATCAAGACAAAACGTGGTAACTAAATTTTACCACGTTTTTTCTATTTGGTGGATTTCATCCAATTTTTTATAACATTTAAAAAAATCACACTGTTTAGGTTTCAAAAATAGAACTATTTTGCACACTGCACATTGTTAGCACACTAAAATAAGCATTTTAATATCTCCAGCGAAGGAAAATATCCGCCATATTAAATATCGGTGACTATGGTTTTTTTGGACGCTAAATTTCACAGTCTAAATATTTTCTGCAATCGCTATATTATGATGCGAACCATAAGGAATGCGTGTTTATAATCATACCTCGGTGTGCATTTGCAGCTGTCTATTAGTCTACAATTAGTTTATATAATACAGTTTAAAGCTATAATTTTGACAGACTTTTATTTAATTTTTAAATTACACGCTATAATACTGTATATTCCTTGTTCCCATCCTGGGTTTCTTTTCAGGAATTAAAATTAAAAATTTACAATGTTTTAATTGTTATGAGGCATTGCTCTTTTATTTCGAAATGTTTTCAGTCTGTAGCTAAATATTCGAGAAGGAACAATTCTTGGCGATTGGACGAAACTTTGAGAAATTGTTTATTATTAACCTATCACGATCCGTATGAAAATAAAAACGAATCTTAGGAATATTTGATATGAGTTATTTCCCTTGTTCTTGGAAACTCGTTCAAGTTTTAGCTTGTAAACAGTGTAGAATGAACAATTCTTAATAGATTTGGACGAAATTTGGTGAAATTGTTTATTATCAACAAACGATGAACCCTATAACAATATAACTTGTTCTTTACAAGTAAACACTGTAGAAGGCACAATTATTGATAAATTTAGATAAAGTTAGATAAACCTTCATAATAATCAAGTAGGATTTAAAAGTGCTGAAAAATATCGTAGACTCGACCAACTCACTCTTTTTGAGCTAACCGAATTATTTGTTTCCAGACGTCGGAAAAAATACAATTTTTGATAGTGCCTGTCTGAAGTGTGTTCTCTAGGTCAGTAATAATACAGATAAGGATAGTGTTTGACTGCAATATGTAGTATAGGTCAGTAATAATACAAATATTGATAGTGTTTGATTATAGTATGTAGTAGAGGTTAATAATGATACAGATATTGATAGTTTATGACTAGTATGCAGTCAAGGTCAGTAATAATACATAATATATTGATAGTGTCTGACTGTAGTATGTATTCTACGTCAGTAATGATATTGGTAGTGTCTGACTGTAGTATGTAGAAGAGGTTAGTTAGGATACAGATATTGATACTGTTTGACAGTAGCATGTTGTGTAGCTTAGTAATGATACAGATATTGATACTGTTTGACTGTAGTATGTAGAAGAGGTTAGTTAGGGTACATATATTGATACTGTTTGACTGAAGTATGGAGTCTAGGTTAGTAGGATACGGGTATTGATAATGTTTGAATGTAGTATGTAGTAGAGGTTAGTAATGATACAGATAATGATAGTGTCAAACACTATCAATATCAGCATCATCACTAACCTCTACTACACACTACAGCCAAACACAGTCAATACCTGAATTATTAATAATCTTGACTACATACTACAATCAATCACTATCAATATCTGTATCATTACTGACCACTACTAAATACTGATACTAAATATTGATACTGTTTGACTGAAGTATGGAGTCTAGGTTAGTAGGATACGGGTATTGATAATGTTTGAATGTAGTATGTAGTAGAGGTTAGTAATGATACAGATAATGATAGTGTCAAACACTATCAATATCAGCATCATCACTAACCTCTACTACACACTACAGTCATACACTATCAATATCTGTATCATTACTGATCTTTACTACATACTACAGTCATACACTATCAATATCTGTATCATTTCTGACTTAGTCTACATACTACAGTCAAACAGTATCAATATCTGTATCATTATTGACCTCTTCTACATACTACAGTCAAACACTGTCAATGTCTGTATCCTCACTGACCTCTACTACAAACTACGGTCAAACACTGTCAATATCTGTATCATTACTGACCTCTTCTGTATACTAGTTTCAAACACGGATAATTCTGATACATGTGAGTTCGAAGGCTCAAAATTTGACTGTGAGCTGTGAACACTATTACTGATTGGCTTAGCTAAAACAATTCCGTTTCTGAGACTAAAGTATGATTGGTCAAAAACTTGACCACTTTCTTGAGAACTTTTGCAGCTTTCAAATAATTTTTTTGTTTGTTTCGAAGTTCATGTTAATTCTGGACACTAAGAAATATAGAATCGTTTAGAGAAACAACATGTGTTAGTGAAGGCAAGTTTTTGGACGACAAATTGGAAAAGGTTTGAATGAAAGTCTAAGAAGTCTTTTTTTAGTCACATGATAGCGGACGGGTCCATTTTCAATTTATAAGTGACCAAGTTTGACAATTAAACACATATATTCAAACATTTTGTCTAAAATGTCTAACTGTTTGTGGAAATATGCATTACTTACTCAGTGGTGTAGGCAAGATTTCATTGAGGGGCACCTTTACCCCCTTTTTGGCTTTTCAAGGGCCCTACCCTCTGTAGTTACGCTACTGTAGTTACTTGTAAAAACGTAGTAATATTAGGAGACAAATTGCATAAAATGCAGGAATTTATTTTCAATACTTATTCTCAAACAAAACCTCCTTACGATCGTTGGGGGAAGATTAGTCCTGAATGGATTTTGAATAGATATACTTTAAGCCTGCTTTCCAATTCATTAACAAGGTTAAAAGTAAACTTTGACTAATTTGTAAATAAAATGAATGTACACCAAATTTCATACAACTTTTTTCAAAAAGAGAATTTTTGATGAACATGATGAGTATTTGATTGCAAAATCGTTATTTTGAATATTTAGGTAGTTTTGAGCAATTTTTCTCCAAAGGAATATCAAATCATGACTAATTTTATTTTTTAAATAGCTGTAAGGGTACTTATGACCTAGACCTTTATTAATATTTTGCCGGGAGGTTGAATGAGATCTGGAAGTGAGAAAAGTTCCCCAATCAACGGGTTTCTATTACACACCCGAATATTACGACCATGAATTCAAACTAGCTATCGTTAGCCTACATGATGGTATCCGGACCATTCGGCAAAAACCCTCATTCAACCAAGTTCGGAAATTTATCCAACCAGCCACATAGAACTTTCCTACCTAAAACCATCTATCCTGCGTACTCTTCTCTATAGGAATTATGAAGAAGGTAAAGCATAATAAACTCAATATTTTAATATTATAATGATGGATCCAGTTGATAACCTTCATTGGTCTCCAGAAACCCACAAACAGTATATAATTGGATTAATTAACTTCAACATCGAGTAATAAAGATAGCTTGCGTTGCAAGATAACATACGCCCACTGGCAAATGTCAGAAATAATAAAACAGTCTTTAGTGACTAAAGTACGAATTTTCTCATATTGAAGAAATTATTCACAAATTTTTTTTAAATTAATATCAGTAACCCAAATACAACAAACAATTAAATCACACAGCTCTAATCAAAGGCAAAAAACAACTTTTAACGCGTGTTTACAAAGTCAAGGGCAATAACTCAAAAAATGTTCATCAAATATATCTCTTGTTAGAACTTGTCCGAGATCTTATCAATTCCAATGATCACATCAAGTTTCATCAGAATCGGTTGAAAACTGTAGCTTCTATTGTGCTCACAAACAAATTTTAACGCATTTTTCGTAAGTTAATGGCATTAACTCAAAAACATTTCATCGAAAATGTTTCAAGTTAGAACTTGTCCGAGATCTTATTAATTTCAATGATCACACCAAGTTTCATCAGAATCGGTTGAAAACTGTAGCTTCTATTGTGCTCACGAACAAATTTTGACGCCTTTTTACAAAGTCAAGGGCAATAACTCGAAAACCGTTCATCAAAATTATATCAAGTTAGAACTTGTCCGAGATCTTATCAATTCCAATGATCACACCAAGTTTCATCAGAATCGGTTTAAAACTGTAGCTTCAATCCTGCTCACGAACTATTTCTAACAAATTTCGACGCGTTTTAACAAAGTCAAGGACAATAACTCAAAAACCGTTCATCGAAAATGCGTCAAATTAGAACTTGTCCGAGATCTTATCAATTCCAATGATCACGCCAAGTTTCATCAGAATCGTTTGAAAACTGTAGCTTCAATCCTGCTCACGAACTATTTTTAACAAATTTCGACGCGTTTTAACAAAGTCAAGGGCAATAACTCAAAAACCGTTCATCGAAAATGCGTCAAGTTAGAAGTTGTCCGATATCATATCAATTCCAATGATTATGCCAAGTTTCATCAGAATCAGTTGAACAAACCATCACCTCGTCTAGAAATGCGTCTTTTCTGACGATGAGTGACTGGGTGTTGTGAGGGAATCTCCATCCAAGTTTCATCGAGGCCTATTTCCTCCCAGAGGCCAGGTGGCGCAAAGTGAGGGCGAGCCTCAGACCAGGATCAATCGGTTCACGATTGATCGTATGTTGCTTAGTTATTTTTAGATCTACTCTCTCCAGCACCTCGTCGAACATTTCGGGGGGCATCCACATAAAGTTCGTGAAAGATGCCTGGTCCTCGTTGAGTAGTTGTACTAGAAGCTGGCATGCAAAACTGTCGACGCTTCTCGATCCATGGTCTGACCCAGATCCTTCTTCGATGACCTCCTCCC